ACAGGTGCCAGATGCAGGGCTCATGGTTGGTGAGTGGTATGAGCCTCTCCCGATCGGGACTGACTGGGCGTGAGCCTGTGGCAGGCGCAGCGGGGTTGGGATGAGCGGGAGCGGCAGGCGGTGTCAGACTGCCGGTTTTAGCCTGATCCCCACAGGCCACACCGAGGGACCCCACTGGTGCACAAATCTGTGCACTGGGCCTCTAGCTACTTAAGTAATATTAACAGACGCATTTTATTTTATTTTTTAAATGTATATTTTATTGATTTTTTACAGCGAGGAAGGGTGAGGGATAGAGAGTTAGAAAGATCAATGAGAGAGAAGCATCGATCAGCTGCCTCCTGCACACCCCCTACTGGGGATGTGCCTGCAACCAAGGTACTGCCCTTGACCGGAACCGAACCTGGGACCCTTCAGTCCCCAGGCCGACGCTCTATCCAGTGAGCCAAACCAGCTAGGGCAACAGACGCATTTTATAGGTGAGGAACTGAAGCAGAGAGGTTGTAACATACCCAGACTCACAAAGATAGCAAGTGATGAAGCTGGGGTACAAGCCAAACATAGGCAATTTGAATCCAGAATTTGGGATCTTAAAAGGAGTCATAGAGAAAATAGATCTATTCTAAGTCCTCTTCTAGCGCTTACTCCCATTATTATACAAAAGGCATTCTTCCTGTCTAGTTCTCACTCAAGTCCCAACCAAAATTCCAGATATTTTCTGTGTTGTTGTTTCTAAACTAAACTTACAAATGAGAAGGGAGCCTATTCCTGGCTGGCAGGCAGCTGCCAGGAAGTTAGGAGTCAAACTGAGAAAAGATAGCAGATGCAAGAACTCGAAGCACTGTGTGTGGTCATCTAGGACAGCCGTCTACCCTGGATCCTTTCACTATTACTACTAATGAGCTTCTGTTATCAAAAACAAAAATCAAACCAAACAAACCCAAAACCAAAACAACCCCACACAGTGCAATCTGCTTAAGGAGTGAAAACTCTAAATGCATATACTACAACGAAGATTTGCTTTTTTATTTATTTATTTATTTTTAATATATTTTATTGATTTTATACAGAGAGGAAGGGAGAGAGATAGAGAGTTAGAAACATCGATCAGCTGCCTCTTGCACATCTCCCACTGGGGATGTGCCCGCAACCCAGGTACATGCCCTTGACCGGAATCGAACCTGGGACCTTTCAGTCTGCAGGCCGACGCTCTATCCACTGAGCCAAACCGGTTTCGGCGAGATTTGCTTTTTTAAAAAAATATTCTCACCTGAGGATATGTTTTTCATTGAGTCTAGAAAGAGGGGAAGAGAAAGGGAGAGAGAGAGAAACATCGATCAGTTGCCTCCATACTTACCCAGACCAGGGATCAAACCCGAGACCTTTTGGTGCATGGGATGATGCTCTAGCTAACTGAGCCATACTGGCCAGGGCTTTTATTTAAGTTGCTCCTTTAAAGATGAACCCTAACCGTGGCTGGTGTGGTTATAGCGTCATCCCAGGCACCAAAGGGTCTCGGGTTCAATTCCCAGTTAAGGGCATGCACCTGTGTTGCAGGTTAGATTCCTGCGGCACATGTGGGAGGCAACCAACTGATGCATCTCTCACATAGATGGTTTTCTCTCTCTCCCCTCCTCCCTCCCTTGAACTCTCTCTAAAAATATCAGTGGAAAAAATATCTTTTGGTGAGGATTAAAAAAAAAAAAGAAAAAAAAGATGAACCCTTGACTTCATAGAAAACTAGTCAGACCAATTCAGAGCCTGAGGTCTGGCAACCATATCCACTTCCAGATCTTCAATGATCACTTCCATATCTTTTCCCTAAAGGTAGGGACTTCCAAATTCCAACTCCACATTCCCAGTTGTTAGGCATTCCACTGGTCCCAGAAACCCAACTGTCTAAATAAATTTATCTTCTTTACCTCTCCCATCCCAAATGGCACCTGTGTTCTCCCAAATTCAAATCTTTGAACCAACTTCTGCCTCCTCCCTTATTAGAGACACCCAGTTAGGACATGAAGGACTTGGCACTTCAAATATCCTCCCATTATCTAACTTAGGTCCTCAGTATCACCTCTAAACCATCCTTTGTAAAATTCCAAGTTTTAATCATTTCTTTGCTCAAAAAGCTTCTGAAGTTCCTCATGCCCAAATTACTCAGCCTGGCTTCTAAGGCTGTCCAGAGCAGTGGTTCCAATGTGGGAAACAGGATAATTCCAGGATAAAAATGGCAAAGTCTGTGTTTTTGTTTTTATCTAATAAAGAATTAAACTCTACCTAGTCGGTTTGGCTCAGTGGACAGAGCATCGGCCCGGGGACTGAAGGATCCCAGGTTCAATTCGGGACAAGGGCACATACCTCAGTTGCAGGTCCAATCCCAGCCTTGGTCAGGATGCATGCGGGAGGCAACCAATTGATGGGTCTCTCTCACATCTGTCTTTCCCCCCTCCCTTCTACTGTCTCTAAAAATCAATGGAAAAATATCCAGGTGAAGATTAACAAAAAATAAAAAAGGAACTCTAGCAAGAGACAGATTGACCTGATGCCCTCACTAGGGTCCTTAAGTCAATCAGTCCTATATGACACACGAGATGAACACAACATAGGAGCAGGAAGAAGGGGGATGACCTCCTCATTCACTCTGTCACTTCAGTGTGCTGAGGTGGTTATTGTTTGTATATTACAAAATCTCATCAACTTAGTTAATATTTATAAAAACACAGCCTTTAAGTGGTGGAAGCTTTACAATGAGGTGAGAATCTTTGGTAACCCAGGTTAGTTTAGTTCATGATCTCTTTGGAAAAGAGCTGTCTCCAAACGCGCTGACCTTTTCCAGGTTGAGCAGTGGTTGTCAACAGTATACTGCTTAGCAACTGTCTTGAAAATGGACATAGAGTAACACTTGCTTCATTTACACATGCTTTTTAAAGTCTCTTATAGTTTGTTTTTAAATTTCTATTTTTTGTTTGTGCTATGCTCTAGCACATATCTGTAGAAATAAACATATTGAGGTTGCTGTGTTCTACACATTTTTACTGTAAAGGATACAGGACCTTAAGTCTCTAGACCAGTGGTTATCAACCTGGGAGTGGCGACCCCTTTGGGGGGGTCGAACAACCCTTTCACAGGGGTCGCCTAAGACCATCGGAAAACACATATATAATTACATATTGTTTTTGTGATTAATCACTATGCTTTAATTATGTTCAATTTGTAACAATGAAAACACATCCTGCATATCAGATATTTACATTACGATTCATCACAGTAGCAAAATTACAGTTATGAAGTAGCAACGAAAATAATTTTATGGTTGGGGGGTCACCACAACATGAGGAACTGTATTAAAGGGTCGCGGCATTAGGAAGGTTGAGAACCACTGCTCTAGACCAATGTAACATTTGGCTCAAACTCATCTTTCTGACACACTGCCTTTCCAGCATCTCTACTTGTATGTGTCACAGGCATTTTAAACTCAACATATCCTCTACCTGCCCCAAGCTGCTCTCTTCCAGCAGTTTTTTCCCATCTCAGCAAACCCCAAAGCCTCAGAGTCCTCCATGCTCCTCTTCCTCTCAGCACCCCTCACCAAATCATGTCAATAAATCCCACTATCTTACCTTTGGGTCAGTTCCCTTCTCCCACTCCTCAGCATCAATCTTCATCACCTCTACAGTCTTAAATGGACTCACTTTTGGCTTATCTCAAGTGCTATCTCATTCATCTTGATACCCCCTGCAACACCCAGCCCAATTCTTGACAATCACGGATACTCAAGATGCTTATTTTTCACATGAATTAAATGCACAGAAAAGTGATCTGAAGGACAGAAACTAAATAAGAAATCTGGAATCTCCTTTAATAATCACCTCCCTTTTGGGTGTGGCAAGGTAGGCATCTCCTGGGTTTTGATTTTGGTTGTCTTTAGAATCACCTGGGGCACTTGGTAATAATAAAGGCCCAGATCCTACCCTCTTTGAATAAATCTTGGCCTCTGTTCTTTATTAGCTTTTTGGTGGTGATTCTGCTACACGCCAGAGTTTGAGAACCACTGTCCTAGAAAATATAGCTAAAAATAGCCTAGGCTTTAGTAGTCCCAGGCCAAGTAACGCACTGTTACAACACCGGGGGCAGGCCCAGTCCACTACAGCATAAGGATCCTTCATAAAAGTCTGTAAGAGGAAGTAGTGTTCAGGTTCTTGAAGGCTTGATTATCCAAAAACCACTGGTGACCAGGAGAGCTGCATTTTATTACTCTTAAATGACTGTGTTAACTTTGGACCAGTTCTCTACCCTCGATACCACGCCTATCTGTACTATGGAGTTAATAATGACATATTATTTGTACGGATGCTGCAAGAAGAACAAGGTTATGCACTCAACGTTGCATAAAAACATAAATTACTTCCGACCCTAGATCCCTGGCTTCTCAACCTTGAAGGATTGGAGTCTAAGAGCAAGCAAGGCCTCTGGAGGACCCTGGGGTGGGGGTGGGGGTGGGGGGCGAGCCTGGGGATTCGAAGAGGTGGCACTGGTTCTGGCGTTGGGCCACTTCCCCCTCTCTCTCCCGCACTTCCTGCCCGGTATCAGGACCAGCCTAGGGTGCCCAACCGCCCACCAGTACCCGGCAGCCCTGCGGTGCAGGCTGGCCCCCGGGTCAGGGCGGCTCGCGAGCTCGGGACGCACATGGCCCAGGGCCCGGGGCGGGGGGGGGGGTTTCCGCCGGCAGCCGGCCCCTCGTCGGGCCTACCTGGGCCGAGGTGCTGAAGCTGCGGCGGAGAGCGGCGCCGGCAGGCCGAGCGAGGGCGGAGAGCATGGCTGGGGCGGGCAGGGCACGGACCAGCAAGCGACAGAGCTAGCGGCGGGCTAGTGACTCCAACGACCTCCACAGGATGCTGGGCCTCCTGGCTCCGTTCCGCGGGGCCTCGCGAGAAAAGCCCAGCTTCCGGCCCCGCCTCATCTCCCAGATCTCGCGGTATCACGGCTGTCCCGCAGGAAGGCGGGGCGACGCTCCCGGCCCAGTGGGAGCGCCGCCTACGTCTGGTTCGAATCGAGTCCTGGGCGGCGGCTCGCGGGGAGCGCTGTCAGAGTTGGGGGCGACACTCTCCCTCCCAAGAGGTGCAAGAGGACGGGGTTTAGGCCGGAAGAGCCTTAGAGGAGCCATTTTCCAGGTGGGGCTCCAGACAGACTCTGGCAGGGAGACCGGCCAACAGTCCCGCAGCCGGACTGGCGGACTGGGTGCGGTCCGAGCCCCCCTGACCGCAGCTGAACCCGCCACCCCTGCCCCTGGAAGAGAAAGGGGCGGGGAGGAGAGGTTGAGAGTCCCAGAGGTGGGGTGGCAGGATGGGGGCTCCTTGAATCTGTCCCTCTCCTGCACCCCTTTCTCACACTCACGTGCCGCCCACCCCCTGTCCCACTGGGGCACCGCAGCTGAGAATGAGCGACGGTGAGCCCCGACTTAGCTCTAGGCCCTGTTGAACGAGCTTTACAGGACAGCAGCCCCGGGTTACAGAGGAAGAAACAGGTATCTAGGTAACTTCTGTTTTCACCCAGTCCCTGCCCGTCACGTGTGGCCAGCAATGCTGGGAACACGACCACATTGTTTGTGCTCTGGGGACGAAGAAACTGTGGCTGCAGTTAAGGGGCTTTGTTCAGAGTTTACTCAGACAGAAAATAACGATGTGGTTCCTGCTCAAAGGGAGTTGATAATTTAAATTTATAAGTTAAATTTAAGCTTCATTTCCCTCCTCCCCCCTGCTATTTCCTGGGCATACAAAGGAGCCTTGCCGTCAAAAAGTTCACAGTCAAGTGGGGCAGGTAGATTTGCTGCAGTTTGTTGCCTTCAGAGAGGAATGCACAATCCCAGTGTGGGTTGGTGGGGAAGGGCGGGGCAGGTGTGTGTGTGTGTGTGTGTGTGTGTGTGTGTGTATCTATGACTAAGCCTGCTTGGAAACGGTTAGTTAGGAAAGCAAAGATTAAAAGAACAATTCCCATTCGTGCTAAAGACATTTAGCACGAACTCAGGAGAGAGGCCAGTGCATGGTGACTGGTTCACTATTTCCTCCCTCCCTTCCACTTGTTTATTGAGCTACTAAAATATGCCAGCCCAGTCTTGGAGAGGGGTGTTCAACTGTGAACAAGATCCACGCATTTTATGCCTTTAAGACACTCAGCATCTGCCGAAACCGGTTTGGCTCAGTGGATAGAGTGTCGGCCTGCGGACTGAAAGGTCCCAGGTTCGATTCTGGTCAAGGGCATGTACCTGGGTTGCGGGCACATCTCCCAATAGGAAATGTGCAGGAGGCAGCTGATCAATGTTTCTCTGTCATCGATGTTTCTAACTCTCTATCTCTCTCCCTTCCTCTCTGTAAAAAATCAATAAAATACATTTAAAAAAAAAGACACAGCATCTAGTGAGAAAGAGGTAAATGGCAAGCAGCATGATGTGGGCAACACTAGGAGAGTTATGAGGTACCGTGGGAACACAGAGGTGGTGTATCTAATCCAGATTTGGGGTGTGGGTGGGGCCCGTGTGAGAGAGGACCTCCGGAGGATGAAATATCTAAGCTGAGAGATGTACAGGAAGAGTAGGACTACTTAGTGGGCCAATTCAGCTCCAGAGGAGGGAGAGATCCTTGCCTGGGCATTGGAATTCTCAAAGGAGAGGGCACTAGGAGCTGGACCTTTTACAATGGAAAGTGTTTAAAGGAGGAAAGAGCCCAAAGAAAACCCTGGAGGTAGGAAAGCCTAGGCCTATATTCAGGGGACAGTGAATAGATAATTTCTGATGGAATGGGGATGAGAACAAGCAGTGTCCTCTATCTTGCCACTGACCACGTTCTCTGGTTAATTATTTACCTCTCTGTCTTACCACTAGAACTTTGAGCACCTTGAGTCAGGTATGTCTTTCATCTCTGTGTCTTTATTGCCCAGCATTAACCAGGCTGAGAGTGATGCTTTGAACTTGGAGAGAGTTGAATGGTTTTACATAAAGCTGGAAAAAGCAGGTTGGAAAAACCAGATTGTGTAGGACCTGTGAACATTAGCTGAGAAGTTTGTATTTTATTTCTTGGGAAGCAAGTGTTTATCAAAGGCTTTTCTGTTGCCACCACAAATTGTGAAGATTAGACTGACCTGGGCATGCTAAGGGCTTCAAGGGGAAAACGTGAGGGCAGGGAGATTGTGTAGGAGGCTATCTTATGAGATCAAGATCTGAGCGATGATGGTGTTCATAGAAATGGAGAACATGGGGCCAAAGAGGTAACAGTCTTAAGGGCTTAAGAAATGAATGGAAGGAATGTGGGAAATCAGCTGGAGAGAAGTATATCTGTATAGAAATGGAATTCAGGGGTTGTGTGGAAGGAGAGCTGGCTGGAGAAAATAAAGAGCTCCATTTAAGATGGGCTGAATTGGAAGTGATGGTGAGTTGTCCATATAGAAATAACAGTAGACAGGTGGGGAGTTACTTCTAAGAAGAAATGTGGGATTGAAATTCAGGAGGGAGGCCAGGCCTGAAGTCATCCCTCTCAAAGGGAAAGTTAAGGCCATGAGAGAGAAGCTAGAATCACAGATTCTCAGGCTCACTCCCACAGATGGGGCTCAATACCCTCCCCATCCCTGCCAAGTTAGCCCTGTCTTCATCTCCACAACTCACTACCTCCCAAGTCCTTTACTGGGGCCATGCCAAACAACTTGACAACAAATCTGTCTTTACAGTCAGCTCCTATCTGCTGTATCAAGCATTAACTGTGCCAGGTGCTATGCTCTGCTTCGCCCATGTAACTTTTCACTGAACATACAGGTCTGTATTCAAGAAGCCGAATGCATCATAAAACAGATTTGTGTCTTCATTCACACTCTTTCTTGAAATATTTGGTTGCCCTTGGATTACTTCTAGTCACCAGGACAGACTCATTGCAATAGCCTAAATGTCTCGTTCACATTAATAGTAAAAATTCTGAATTTGATTCAAAATTAAAGCAGCTCTCCTTCTCTAGCTTTCGTTAGGCTTCTACCTTTCCAGAGGAAGGTGGTTGACGTCTGTATTTCTCCATCTTGCTTGCTCATCTCCCCTGTACCACCACACCATGCAGACTGAGGCTTCAGACCCATTAATATTGGTGGAAGGGAGATGTAAGAGTAGAGATGGGGCAAGAAAGGTCTCTTTGTCATGTGGCATTAATAGTCTGTGAGCTTGATGAGAGTTTACCTGATTCTTTCCTCCATGCAGTACTTTTGTGGGTCTCTCTTAACTGCAATTTCCTTGACCTAGGGGTTACACTTGTCTTGCTGCTTTCAGTTGCTCCCTCAGCCCCTGGTTTCGGGAATCCTATGCAATTGGTCCCTTAGCCCTCCAGGTCACTCCTCCTAGGCAAAGTCCATTTAACATGGCTTCTAGTTGGCCCTCTCTCCTGCCTGGGACACATCTGGTCTATAGGGAACACTAATGCATCTTTTGCCTCAACAAATTATGAGGGTACAGACCCTTTCAATGCAGCTGCCTCAGACTTTTCCAGGCGAGGGCCTACCACCAGCTTCTGTGCCTGGATAAGCTTCAGAGGGCACAGTCCAAGCTATTCTAGTTTCATGAATTGTGAATGTTTGAAACTTGTGTTTCAAACTTGTGAGACATGGATTTTGAAAAAAGAAAGAAGGGTGCTGAAAGGAGGGGGCTAAGGGGAAATGAGGAGGGGGAAGGATTAGGTCAAAGGATGCTTATCTCTCTGGGAGAAAGCTGGAAGGGTAGTCAGGGGCAGTTGGAGGGGGAGGGCCTTTCATACCCAGTGTCTTTAACCTTTCCAGGTAGAACTAGAAAATTATAGAGAAGTTGCTCAATGAGGACTCAAGGAAGGTGAGGAGGTTTGTATAAGAGTTGTAGGCCTTGGGGAAATCCTGGACAAATGAGAAATGATGAAAAAAGGATTCACTGGTGGTTATGGGAGCCAAGCTGAAGTTCTGTAGTGTGTACTTTCTGTGTGTCCAAGTCCTCATCGTTTCCTATGCCCAGATCCCACACGAAGATCATGGACATACAAGTTGGGCTGCAGACTCATATCCTTATACACACCTGTGTATTCACATCTTTTTTCTTTAAATCCTCACCTAAGGATATTTTTCCATTGATTTTTAGGGAGAATGAAAGAGAGAGGGAAAGACAGAGACAAACATTGATGTGAGAGAAATACATCAGTTGGTTGCCTTCTGCATGAATCCCAACCAGGGCCTGGGCCGGGGAGGAGCCTGCAATCAAGGTACATGCTCTTGACTGGAATTGAACCCGGGACCCTTTGGTCCACAGGCTGACGCTCTTTCCAGTGAGCCACACTGGCTAGGGCTGTATTCCCATCTTTGAACACATAAACACATATATCTACACAGGGGATTTATTTTTAGTTTTGATTGTCATATATGATATAGTATACCAATCTTAAGTGTTCAGTTGGTGGGTTTTGTCCATTTATACCCTTGTAACGTCCACCCCAAACATGCGACAGAATATTTTCATTCCAGAAAGTTTTCTCATGATTCTTTTCATCAGTTCCCCAAGACAGCTACTTCCTGACACCATAGATTCATTTTGCATGTTCTTCATTGTATATTTTTATACACAATATACAAATACATTGATACCCACCTTGCCCTAATCCCACACGAAGACAAGCCACACATATCCACATATACTGACCATTTTGTACCTTAGGCTTAGACGTGTTTATGAGCTATCAGATGTTTGCTATTAGGTCACATACTGTATAATAACCTACTTTCTCTTCAAACCTAAAATCGTACCTCAAGTGAAATATTTTAAATCTTTCCTTTCAGAACCTTGGAGCTAAAACAAAGAGAGAGGAGGTAATCATTCCACCTTGCATGATAGTTTTCTTTATTTTCCTCTACGGTATTGGAAAATGGGGACACATATTTTAAAACAGCACCATATTTAGATAGATAGATTTAACTTTTAGTTGTGGCCCATTCCTGCTTAAAGTCAAAAGGATTTGACTCTCCAAGATACATTCCAGTAGAGCAACTATAAGGTTATGGACTGGCAGAGTAGAGGCAGCAGGAAGCTGCTAGCAAAGGGTTCCCAAGAGCTTAGAGTCACTGATGGTGATAGAGCGAAGTCAGGAACAAAACCTTCAGTCTTCCAGACCAGTCAGAGGTCAGGGAA